TCTGTTTTTTTTTTAGAAATCTAAATTCAGATATTTTTCATATTGCTTACACTAAAATTATAATAGACAAGGAGGAGAGAATTTGATATAAGTGAAGCTGCATTTGAAAGAATCGTAAGGGAGGTGGCAGGGCCAGGAGTAAGATTTGGAGCAGGTGCTATTAGGAGCATTCAGAGGGTACAGTTTCTTTTTTAACCAAAGGATTGATTTTTTTAAAAAAATATTAATAATTAACCTTGGCATTCAAAATAGATGGCAGAGAGAGCAGTAATCCGACTGTTCAGGGATGCGTAAGTACCAAGTTAAAAAATTAATAACTAAAATATGATTTCACTAATCATCTTTTTTTCAATTAGTAATCGATGTGCCACATACGCAGGGAAGGAGGAGGTGGGAAAATTAACCTTGCCATTCAAAATAGATGGCGGAGAGAGCAGTAATCAGATTATTTAGGGATGCGTAAGTACCAAGTTAAAAAATTAATAACTAAAATATGATTTCACTAATCATCTTTTTTTCAATTAGTAATCGATGTGCAACATACGCAGGCAAGGAGGAGGTGGGGGTGGAGGATCTAAGGTTTGCTATGGAATTTCGAGAATCAATTAGGCAGGAGGTTCTTTCTAGTTATATTTAATAAATTACAAATTTAACTTTTTACTTACTTTATCAAAAGGTACAGTTTCTTTTTTAACCAAAGAATTGATTTTTTAAAAAAAATATTAATAATTAACCTTGACATTCAAAATAGATGGCTGAGAGGGCATCTTTTTTTCAATTAGGAGCCGGTGTGCTGCATATGCAGGGAAGGAGGAGGTGGGGGTGGAGGATCTGAGATTCGCTGCGGAGTTCAGGGAGTCGATAAGACAAGAAATTTTATCTACATTTTTATAATAAATAAATTTAATTTTTTTATATTACTTATTTTATCAGACCTTAGAAATTTTACAAGCATGTCAGAAACCAATGATTTGGTTTCTTTTTTTTTATATCATTAACATACACATAGAAATTAGCAATAATCATTTAATAAATAACAGACTATCCTTATCCTTGTGCTTGTGCTTGCCCTTGACTTTATATTCTCTTTGTTGACGTCTTTGAATTTTATATGAATTCATACTAACCCGTGCATAATTAATTTTCTTTTATTTTACATTTGTCTATTTTTTTATTTCTTTTCCTTTCTTTTAGTGAGGTAAATTTTATTTGGTGAAGTTTGGAAAACATACCTGACTTGAGTAGGAAGTAATAGCGTGAAGGGAACCCACCAAGAGATGTAATCAGGATATATTGTTTGGTATTACAAGGAATCTTTGTATAAGTATACATTCGTGGAAATTGTTTTTACGATTTAATATAAAGAAATTGTATTATTGTATTAACATTATTAACATTATTTACCATCGAGACTCAGAAATGATCTCACAATAATATTGTCTTTTATTTTTACGGAATGTCTAAATAAATAGCAATATACTTTATAAATTTGATGACCTTTACCAGCGAAATAACAATTGGGAAAGAGATGATGCTTGGATCGCACAAAAAACCATGAAACATTCTTATATTAGTATTAATGGATCCATCAATAATATTAATATAATCTAAGAAAAAGCAATACCTATTTTTGCAATGCTGTGTCCCGAAACAAGGTTTAGGCTCTCTCCCAACTGTTTCAAAAGGTTTAGGGTCACAACATTGATTATATTTATTTTAAACTAACATGAAATCATAGCCAATAGTGATATATAGTAATAGTAGCTTTTTTTTTTTTACGAATTAAAATTATCAATACTTCTTACATTTCATAAAAATGAAAAATATAAACGCAATTGAATCATCTTTAGTGCCTGAGTTCGAAACGCACATGTGCAGTTCAATATTGATACGTAAAGCAACTTTTACATACACACAAGTTGTGTTAACTTGAGATTTTAAGGCTAACTACGCTTAATATTAATATTAATAATAAAATAAACGCGCTTACGTTGTTTATTTGAAATGCACATATTATACTGGTATACACAATACATAAGGCAGGTTTAGATACAGGTTTTTGCAAGTTTTAATTTATTCTCAATATTAAAAAAATTTCTCTTTTCTTATGTTAAAATAAATAGTTTACTCTTGGGAGCTGTGGATTTCACGTAAAACGCATATATGAATTTTATAAAAAAAAAAAAATAGAATTGCAACATTATAAAAAAAAAAATGTAATGGTAATTCTCAACTATTTTTATGAATAAACTAGAGTAACGACGACGAGTGACGACAACCACCATTCTTTTAATAAACACTTAACTAGCAATCTTAGGAACGAATTCTTTTCTTCTTTTTTGTTTGAAAAAGACATGATTGAAAAAAAGAATGTTATTTCATAGACAAAAGTTGTCTGATTGGCTATTTTGCTGATCGAATTCAATCGAGTTCGCATATTATTTATATAAAGTTGTTATGATTCCATTATAACAGTTTAAACAAATTGTATCCCTAGTTGAACATAATTTGGAAAAGTTTTGTTAGTTTGACCTTTGGAAACAACATGTTCAGTTACAGTAATCGCACATAGTCCTGTAATACTACTAGTAAATGAATGGCATTTTTGTCTTCCAAGTAAAGTATGTCGGGAGTATGATTTTTTTTTTTTTGATTCTTTTGCACAGTGAATGTCAGTATTATTTTAAATGTTATTTTTTATTTTTTTTTTTATCAGTGAAATGTTGCATTATAAAAATCTTAAAAGTAGAAGTGCAATCGAATTACAGCAACATGCATTAGAACAGTCCCATCATAATGAGCCGGAAATTATATAAAAACATCTAGTAGAGATAATAATAATTTAACTTTTTCACAAGTAGTAGGGGTAGTCACGGATATTCTCAATTTAATTATGATGATTTTAGGGAAACTTTGACATGAAAACTGCATCTAGATTGTTTTACTGATATCTATACTCGCATTAATAATCATAGGAAAATTCAATTTTTAATTCCACCACAGATTTATACGAGATGCCCATTAAAGAGGAATAAGAAGGAGTGCTAATACAGGAAACAGTATTCCTATTCCAGCAAGGAATCATGGCTTTGTCATATACCTTTAGGATATAGCTCTTCGCATAAGCCTAGTTTGGTGGTTGTGTTTCATCTAATTGTTTATTACTAAAACTATAATCACTGAAGAAACAGGATGGGTATTGGCATGTGGCCATGCATATTATAACACATGTTTTAACCGAGATGGTCCAAGTGCTTACATTGCTTAGATTTTATTAAGGGCGGTGTTAATAAACATGTTCAATCACTTCTAGAAGTTTACATCAAATTAATTTGAGTAGTAATGCTAAAGGTGAAGATCCCAATTCTATTCTTGAAGGTGATAATGATGACATTAAAGAATCTGCAGATGACATTTAGCCCCATGAGATGATACAATATGGTGATTTCTTCGGCTATAGTTTTTTGTTTGATTACTATCATAAGAGTTTTTGTTGATTGGAATATAACATTTATTGTGTAAAAACAATCTAATAAATAAAGAAATTCAAATTATTTTTAATTATTTTGCTACTGCATAAGATAGTTGTTACAACTAATAAGAATTATGATAATTGAAAATAATGGCAGTATTTATTTTAATATCATCCAATAAAATTGAACCAATCAAATTACAATGATTAAGAAATAACCTACAGAAAATTAGCCAATCATACAAACTTCTGCCTATGAATTATTTTATTTGATTGACGCGTACTATAGATGGGCATCTAAACTAAATTATTTAGACAATGTCTAAAATATAAATTAATTTATATATACATTTAGACAATCATGGTCTCAATTGTCTAAAATGCTGAAATTGAATTTTTTATTGGATAATTTACTGAACTTGTGAATTTTGTGTATATACACGTGACTTTTAGTTGTTAAAGCAAATCATCACTATTTATATTAATTTAGACATTTAGACATTTTTGTCTAAATACTATTTTGACTTTAAACAATCCCAAAAACAATTTAGACGCCCATCTATAACGCGTACACATTAATTATTTATGGTTTTTTTTGTTGACACGAATTGATTGATTTTTTTTTTCTTGAAAAACAATTTATTTTTCAAAGATGGCGGCAAAACATGGGTCTCCTTTTAATGACAATAATGACAGAGGTACCTTTTTTATTTACCTTGATATAATAATAATGTGGTATCCTTTTAGTTTATAAATATTTTAGATGGAATCAAAATGCACTTGCTGGGTAAATTATAAGATTCTTGATGATGATAAATGAATGATTGGTATTTTGCTTTGTGTAATCAGTATCAATATTAATATATATAAATAATATATATATATATATATAATTACAAGATGTCAAGACGGCATGACTGACTGTTGCAGAAGAAACACTTCAATATGCAATGTTTGATTATCAGGAAATTAACAGATGTTAAAGCATGCATGCTACCTTGAACACTTTACAGACATTTTTTCACATTCCTTGTGTACAAAGGCTAATCTGACTATGTCGTGGCTCTAATGATACAATGTTGTTGAATTTCAGGGGGGGGATTAGCCTTGGGATATAATGAAAATGCATCAACTGTCTGACACTTTCACTAATCTTTCTTGCTGTACCCAGACTGGAGGAGGCTGCTAGCATGCTGGCTGAAAGTTACCTGCAACGATTCTACCACTAAGGTAAGGATAGATCTATGACCAAGTTGTATTTTGAAGAGTTGTGATATTATTAGGTGTGCATAAACATCCGGATCCATCAAAGCAACAAGAATCTGCAACTTATTTCAAGCACAGGAGGTCACAATTCAGAACGGGGTTGATGATCCTGAAATTGGAATTAGGCTCTGATGTTAAGAGAGAGGCTGTTTCTTTAATACTAACCAATTTATAATTTTAGGTAAGGGCTGAATGGGCTTTTGCCCAATTAGTTAGATTAAAATAGACAGCAACCCAGATTACAGATATAAACTTTATTTTAGCGAGAGGGTTATAACACAAAGCAAGCATCACACAAACACTAGCTATCAGGTGATCAATGCCCATATGGTAACAGCCAAGCCTGGTCTGAGAGGAAGATAAGGGAAGTTTTGTCCAAAGCCTACTAACATTGGGTACCCTCACCTGTGAAGGAAAAATCCCATGGTTATGGGGTGTGCTAATTAATGGCACCCAATCCACATGTTTGTGACAGGAAAATTTAATTAAATCTGACACTTGCAATTAACATCAGATTTATTATTCATAAAAAACTACAATCGATAATCAGGAAAAATAATTTATTTTGCGAACCTAGAGAGAGACACACATTATTAAAAGTATTTATGCATGGCCTTGGTATTATCATTACTCGGGTGATGCAATTGTTTGTTATGCTAATTATAACATCAAATGTATTGGATAATAATCATGAATATTTGATGAATGGAGGCATTCGCATACAAAGAAATGATTATATAGCTAAGTCATGTTTGTTTTATTAAAGATATACAATTAATTTCATACAATAAAAAGCTGTTATGTTTGTGCATGATTTAAAATTCTTTTGTGCTAATTTAAGGTCCCATCTTTCTTTGCTTGTATATAATCTATTGATTCTCTTTTTACTGGTTGAAATAATGCCAAATTGGGTAATGGGGTAATCAGTAAATATCAGAATCTAATAATTCTTTAAAAAATAATCAAGGTATTGGCGTGCTGATAAGTTAAAAACCTATGAAATCACAATATTTATCAGGTATTCTTTTAAAATTAATCCTGTTTTTTAGTTAATTGTTGGCTTAATTTAATTAACCAATAGCTCTTTTATATTGTAATTAAGTTATTGGTTAAATATTTCTAAAGCTCTTTGTACTAAAATAATATCATAATCTTGAATAGTAGTTAGGAAATAAAACGAATAAAACGAATAAAACGAATAAAACGAATAAAACAAATAAAACGAGTAATAATAATTCAAATAAAAGCAAAAAAAAACAATAAATAAACAAACAAATAGTTTTTATTGCGAAATAATTAATTTTGTTCCTTTGGTGGTGTTAATGATTGAATTGATCGCACAAGTAGTAGTCAATTTAAACAGCATTGTTTTTAACGAATTTATTCAAAATAATATTATTAAATGTGTAAAGTTTAATGATTTTAATGTTGCAAATTTTTTTTTGATACATCACTCAGTCCAAAATCAATCATATTTATATACTTTAAAGTTTCTTTATTGATAAATAATAAATCTATCCTTTGTTAGATCAAATGATACGCTACAGCAAAATTTCAGAGAATCAATTATGCAAAATCACACATAATAAGTATACATAGCTTGTAGCCTAGATACTGTAAAATACACTACTCGGACAAAAGTTTGTGAACGATTTTTTTTGTTAATGCTACATAATAAGAATACATAAAATTTTAACATTAGATAGCCTAGGTTCTTGTTCGTTTTCATATAAAATTTAATGTTTTTTGTATTTCCAGTATTTTATTATTAAAAAAAAAAACGAATATTTTTTTTTGACTAATATCTAGTGGGTCACTCGTCATTAGAAATGCATATCTCAATTCTTCTTGGCGTGCTTTCAATGAGTTTTGCTAACATTTTGTAAGGTATTTTAACCATTCTTCTTTCAACTGCACTACACGTTTTTTTAAAAAAACTAGAGTAGCGAGTAATATATCAACAATCACCATCACCACCTTTTTTAATATACAGGAAAAAAACAAATATGTATAATTCTAATTTTATATATATATATATAAATAAACATATATATATAAACAAAACAAATATATACTGTATATAATAAAAAAAATATATAAAATATACTTGGTTTTATATGATAATACTAATAATACCCGTTATCAAAAACACCATGATTTTTATCATCTTCACCAACACTATTACTAACATCATTATTATCGGTACTGATACTACAACTACTATTGTTGTTATTGACACTACTGCTGCTATTATTATCATCAAGATTGCTATTATCATTGTTGTTATTACCAACAGTATTATTATCATGTATGTAGTTTACTGATCAATTAGTTCTGTAGTATGTAGCAGCTGAAAATGTAATTGTATTTCCTTGGTTATCATGATAACTACGATTGTTGTACCTATAATAAAAGGATCCAGCCTCAGCATAATTATGAAAGTGGATATGTGCAAATCTAAATTAAAATTAATTGTAGTTCTACTAAAATATTTTTTAATCTGAATCAATCTACAAAGAAAAATTTTTTACTTTTTATCATGTAATTTTTTTATGTGTGAATACCTCACTTGAGGTAAATTGGAACTCGTCCATTCTTCAAAATAAGCTGTATTTTTATCTGTATGATCGGAACCTCCCACAAAAAATGGGCTTGAACAACACTCTAATCGTTAATAAGTTATATTTAATAAATAAATTCATACGCATAAGGTAGGTATGTACAGAGAAAAGAAGAAACATCTTTCCCAAGCGAGGGAGGAACTTCAGGCGAGACATTATTTTTAAATGAAGGGAAATAGTGAAAAACTACACTTAAAAATAAACTTCACTTGGGAATAGATACCTCTTACGACTTCGAAAGTGTCTTCCATCCTTTATTATAAATTTTTTTCAAGTTACACGGGATATGACTTGAATTTAAAAAGATCTCCATCACAACTTTTTTCTCCATAAGTATTATTATCAAGAATACATTTTTTACAAAGTAAATTCAACCATGTCTCGAAGGAGTTATATACCCCGAATTCAAACTCCGAAATGTAACAAATGTGATTATCATTTATTTATTTGTCATCTGTTTTAGTGTAACAGAAAATAAAATTCTTTTTAAATAAGAACATGCCAATCATAATTACTCTTAATTCCACCAATTATTCAAAAAACGAAAATGATATGTTTGTAAAACTAAAGCTAATATACATATATATAAGAAAAATTCGTAGTTTCTTATGCAAACAATTTCCTTATTTGTATTTCTTAGGTCAAGATTTACAAGGCTTTTTGTAATAAACTGAACACAGACATGACTTTTCATTATAAAAACTGAACACAGACTTTTCATCAATTCTTAATTTAACATTAATTAAATTTAATGTTAATAATAATGAATTTATTATTTTAAATTCAAAAAGAAACTTATTATGAATTATACATACATTTAGTTTTGCATGCTGCAGAATGACAAGTGATCCGACTTTGTATAGCATTCATTAGTGTTCCATGTCACAACTCAAAAAAGGAAACAAGATGGTTATAAAGGTGGTTGCAACCAGCAGTTGCAATCATTTTTATATGACGCAAAGGTGGTAGCAACCATCATCAAAAGTTGCAGCCAGTATCCTTAGCATTCATTACCTGTATGAAAAAAAACCTTGCAAAATGGTAATTATTTTTTAGGCAA